ACATGGTAGACTAATTAGTAAAGTTAGATCACAAGGAATTCAGGGTGAGCTTTCCAATTGGATGCAAAATTGATTTGACAGTAGAAGACAGAGGATGCTGATGGAGGGTTGTTTTTTTAGGGACTGGAGGCCCTTATATAAACAATTTGGATGAGAATGTAAGAGGTATAGTTAGTATGTTTGCGGACGACACCAAAATTGGTGATATAGTGGACAGTGAAGAAGGTTATCTAAGAGTACAAAGAGATCTTGGTCAATTGGTTCAGTGGGCTGAAGAGTGGCAGATGAAGTTTAATTTGGATAAAGGCGAGGTATTGCATTTTGGTAGTACAACTCAGGGCAGGACTTATACAGTTGATGGTAGGCTCTGGGTAATGTTGTAGAACAAAGAGACCTAGGGCTTCGGGTACATAATTCTTTGAAATTTGCATCACAGGTTGACAGGGTGCTTGCCTTCATTGCTCAGACCATTGAGTACAGGAGTTGGGATGTCATGTTGAGGTTGTGCAGGAAGCTGGTGTGGCCTCTTCTGGAGTACCATGTGCAGTTCTGGTCACTCTGCTATTGGAAGGATATTATTAAACTGAAGAGGGTTCAAAAAAGATTTACCAGGATGTTGCTGGGGTTGGAGGGTTTAAGTTATAAAAATAGGCTAAATAGGCTGGATAGGCTGGGACCTTTCTCACTGGAGTGTAGGAGGTTGAGGGGTGACCTTATAGAGGTTTATAAAATCATGAGGGGCATAGATAAGGTGAATAGCAAGGGTCTTTTCAGTAGAGTAGGGGAGTTCAAAACTAGGGGGCATATTTTTAAGGTGAGAGGAGAAAGATTTAAAAAGGACATGAGGGCAACATTTTTACACAGAGTGGTTAGCGTGTGGAGTGAACTGCCCAAGAAAGTGGTGGATACAGGTACGGTTACAACATTTAAAAGCCATTTGGTAAGTACATGACTAGAAAAGATTTGGAGAGATATGGGCCAAACGCAGGCAAGTGGAACTAGTTTAGTTTGGCGACGTGGTCGGTGTGGACTAGTTGGACCAAAGAGCCTCTTTCCATGCTGTATGACTCTAAAATGTTTCCATTCGTGGACAAGACCAAACCAAGGGGCATTAATACGAAATAGTTACTAATAGATCCTTTAGGGATTGAGGACAAACTTCTTTTCCCTGAGTCTGGTTAGAATGTGGAAATTGTCACCATCTTCTGCTGCTTCATCAATGACCTTCCCTCCGTCATAAGGCCAGAAGTGGGGATGTATGCCGATGATTGCACAATGTTCAGCACCATTCACAACTCCTCAGACATTGAGGTAGTCCATATTCAAATGCAACAATATCTGGACAATATCCAGGCTTGGGCTGATAAGTGGCAAATAACATTCACGCCACACGAATACCAGGCTATGACCATCACCAATGAGATGCAATCTAACAACTGCCCCTTGACATTCAATGGTGTTACCATCATTGAATCCCCCACTATCAATATCCTGAGGGTTATCATTGACCAGAATCTCAAATAAACTCACCACATAAACACAGTGGCTATAAGAGCAGGTCAGAGATTAGGAATACTATGGTGAGTAACTCACCTCCTGACTCCCCAAAGCCTGTCCACTGTCTACAAGGCACAAGTCAGGAGTGATTCATGAGAGGTCTTCAGACAGTGCCTTCCAAACCCACAACCACTTCCATCTATAAGGACAAGGGCAGCAGATACATGGGAACACACCACCTTCAAGCTGCCCCCCCAACCCACTCACCATCCTGACTTGGAAATATATCACCGTTCCTTCACTGTTGCTCAGTCAAAATCCTAGAATTCCCTCCCTGATGGCATTGTGGGTAAACCTACAGCAGGTGGATTGCAGTGGTTCAAGCAGGCAGCTCACCACCACCTTCTTAAGGGCAACTAGAGATTTGCAATAAATGCTGGCCAGCCAGCGACGCCCACATCCCACAAATGCATTTAAAAAAAACATGGAGTCATTGAGGTAGTGAGCATGGCTGAATTTGAGAGAAATCTAGGTGAAGATTAAATCTAGATTGAAAATGAAGAAGAAAGTGAAAAATAAATATACTGTAAGTTTATCAATGAAGAAGGTTAAGACTGCTTGTATCATAAATATCAGAACCGATCTGTTGAGAAACGTGGTCTGTTTCTAAGCTGCAAATATTATGTAATAATTATGGTAGTATTACAAGGTTAAGCGTTTTATTCACAACCAGTATGATATTTTTGATTAATGGCTGAAGAAACGATTAATTAATTAAAACCTAGATGTTGTAGAACATTTACAGATTAAGGTGGCAACCCATGTTGATGCGTATCTACCGAACAAAGGTGCAGATTTTGAATGTGATTAGACCAATGACAAGTCTGCTTTTCAGTTGTTAACTGTGGTTGAAGTTGTTGGTCAAGTTTTACAAGTTGATGTGTATGTTGCTGCCTCAGGTGAGCAACCAGGGTGTGGCACGTGGTTTCAGATTCATGTTCGACTAATATGCTGTAATAATTGGAACTTCTAGACATTATGTTAACTAAAAGAGAGAAGTTGTTTTAGCTATATCTTCATTGAAATAATTAGATTGTCAAAATACCATTGGAAATTGTATACTTTTGCAAGTAACATTACAAAAAGCAGGAGCAACCATCATTCCAGTCAATTTATCTTCTACTGCACTCAGTATAATGTGAGAACATGTAAGTTCTTTGTTTTTAATCTTTTTGTTAGAATTCAAGGCAGGGATAGTGTTATATTTCCATTTATAGTTTCAGTTAATCATTGATTACTTTTAAGTTTACCCTTAAGTCTCCGTTTTTTTCCTTCTGATTTTTCTCTTCCTTTCCTCCAGCGCACATCAGCCTCACTTTCCCAGCTCCTCTCGAGAGTCAGTGACTCAAATGGAGATTCTGATATCCTGTTAGTGCTTCATTCTTCATTTATCAGCTTGGACCGTAGGTGATGGTAGCCTACTTTAACAAATCATCATCACAGCCAATTTCATTCTCATTATTCTTGTATGCATGCATGTGTACAAAACTTATAAATGCATAACTACACGCATCCAATTCCTATTACTGTTCCTGGATAGCAAGCTGAGACTTGGCTATCTCGGTGCATAGGCTGAGGTCCAGATAATTTTGACTTCTGCTGTAGCGACTCTGCTGTAAAACTCTATAATTATCTGTGTAATGTGTAATGTCCTGTATTGTTTTTCACAGATGTGTTGTAAGAATATTTTCTTCCTGTTTTCTGCGTACTGAGGAATACTTTTATGACAGATATGGAGCTTGAGCTCTCAAAAACTAGAGGCCCAAGTGGCCTATTTCTCTGTTGTAAGTTACATGCAAACCCAGCTTGCATTTTGGGCTAACCTATTTTAATATTTATTTGCAGCGCTTGGCAAACTCAAAAGCACATACCTCACGATTCATCAGTGCCAATCTCCCTTGTAACAAGTTTAAGAACCGGCTAGTAAACATCATGCCATATGAGTCCACACGAGTTTGCCTGCAGCCAATCCGAGGGGTTGAGGGCTCTGATTACATCAATGCCAGCTTCATCGATGGGTACAGGTACTACAATTTTCCACTTGTAAAGCTTGCCATTTTCTTATTTATTCCATACCAACTGCTCATTATCATCTGTAACCTTCAATGTGTCTCTCCTCTTAGAAATTTTTTTTAACCTTGGCTTATCTCAAAGTATTTTACAGCCAAAGAATCACTTTTTGAGTGTAGCCACTATTGTAAGGAATTGCAGCAGCCAGTTGTGGCAGGTCCCACTAATATCAATAAAATGAATGATCAGTTTATGAAACTTGGCCAGGATATTGTCGGAACTTCCTTGCTCTTTGAATAACACTAAAAGAACCTCTGTGTTCACCTGAGAGAGCAAATGGGGTCTTTGTTTAATGTCCCTTCTGAAAGTTGGCACTTTCATCATTGCAATCTTTCTTCAGTGTTGCATGGGTATCAATCCAGTATCTGTGCTCAAGTTTCAAGACATGTAGATCATTTTATTTTCTAAGAGATAACAGCAGAGGATGCTGGAGATTTTTTTCAAGTCTTAGTATCAAAATATGCCCATACAAGGCAAATAAAGAAAAGATCTTCAATAAATGCATGAACTGACTCAATTTAAGGATTAGAAAAAGTGTGCATAATGCAAAAACTGTACAACTGCTGTCAACTGTATTCTGCTTCTTTGCAAATAGAATAATAGTGTTGACCCAACACAGTTATAGCACTACAGCACTACAGCAATTCACTTTTACATCTTGTTTGCAATATACTAGCATTCATGCTGCTTCATAAGCTAGTATCCATACATTGAATTGGGCAGCAAAAGATTCTTAGAAATTTACAAGGGTTGTATTGTAAATCTACAGGTAAATACAGTCATCATGTGCACCTTTCCCTTCCAAATTCTCTCCCTGTCCAGAAACTAACACCCAAATGGGGAAGAACTCAGTTCAGATGTGTGACGATACAGCCCCAGATCAGGTGAGATTTAAACCAGACATTCAGATTCAAAGGTAGGAACACTGCATCACAACACCTCCCAAAAGTACAGTCAGCACAGTTGACAGGACTTGAACTTGCATTGAGAAACACTGAGAAACAGCAGCTTCCAGTTCATTGCCTTACGCATTCAGCCATGGCCCTTGAAACTTGGTAAATATCTATTGTACAGGACTGCTGTGCACAACAGCCTTCTTTTGATAGTCTGTTAGTTATTTTAATCAACATTTCTGGACATGGGAGTATGGCACAGCTCCTGGGCAGGTGGGATTTAGATCTAGATTATCTGGCCTAGAGGCTACCACAGTGCTACAAGAGCCTTGATACTCCTGGATACTTTAATCTATCTGTTTGGTTCAGCTGTTAGGAGGATGGTATTAAACTTCAAAAGGGTGTAGAGAGTTTGTTGGAATTGTTGGACAAATGACAGATAAAATGTAAGTGCATTTTTTAAGCAGGAAGAACAGAAAGAGACAATACAAAATAAAAGATACAATTCTTAAGAGACTGCAAGAACAGAGAAACCTGGGTGTATATAAGCATAAATTATTGCAGTGAGAAAAATGATTGAGAGCACAGTTAATAAAGCAGGATCCTGAGCTTTATAAACAGTGCCACACAAAAGCAAGGAAGCTATGACAAGCCTGTATTAACCACTAGTTTGGCTTCAGTTGGAGTATTGCATTTGGTTCTGGGCACCATTCTTAAAGTAAGATGAAAAGCATTAGAGAAGATGGACCCAATTGGCTCCTGAAATGAGGTTACACAGATAGCTTAGAGAAGAAGTTGAGAGAAAATTTGTTGCAAGTATTCAAAATTATGAGGCATAGAATGAGACAAACTGTCTTACTGATGAAAGGATCAAGAACCCAAGGACACTTATTTAAAATAATTGGCAACAAAGCAACGGTGACACAGAGAAAAACATTTTTATGCAAAGAGCGATTAGGATGTGAATGCACTGCCTGAGTGCGAAGTGAAGGCAGATATAATCATGGGTTTCAAAGGGGATTTGGATTATTAACTGAAGAGGAAACATTTGCAAAGTTACAGAGACAAGGGAAGTGACACTGGGTACATGCTCTTGCAGACAGCAAGCAGAGACACAACAGACCAAATAGCCATCTCCTGTGTTATAACTATTCAATGATTCTAGGTCATGCTTATAGGCAATGACTGTGTAGTTTCAGCACCAGTGAGACATGCATCAGAGTACATGAAAGGAAACATTCATCCAAGGACTATTTAATGCCAGGGAGATTGATAAAGGAAACTTGACAGCAGAGTTGTGTACTGAATGCTTGCACTGTTTGACACTTTCATTTGTACCTGTTTTTGCAATTCTAACACGCAGCAATATAGTTCTTTCCCAACCTAAAGTAGATAAATTCTAGTCAACATCTATTTGAATTATTTACTAAAGTTGTGCAGTTTCAGTTCCCAAAAACTAAATTAATCAGTTTAATATGAATTTTATTATTTGTGTAACCTGAATGATATCTGAGACTTAGTTATATTTTTAGTGAAAATTGGGAATATTACACCATAATGATTTAGATTATTACCAAAACTTACCTAAAGTCAGGTTACAACCATTTGAAGTCTGTAATATGTGGAACACATTAATTATGCACTGTTATCAGGAAGAAGGATTACTGCTGAGGGCGACTTTAGTCGGAGAGGTATATCTATCATAGAGCGCTGGCTCCATCTAGTGAAGTAATGTGTGATTTTGTTTTTGATGTTCCCACTGCACCACAAGATCGCTTAATAAAAACAGCCTAGTCTAATTCCTGAGCAGGTAAACACATCTCCAACAAACCACCCAATTTGACTACGCTCCTCCCCATCCCACATTCCTAGACTCTATTACCCCTCCATTCAAACTGATCCAACCCTCCAAAAGCCAACCTATCCTACCAACCTAATATGACAACCCTCTCAACCACCTAATAGCTTTCTTGACCTAACCCAACCAACAACCCCAATGACCCAACCACTCACCCCAACCTAACCATCCATTTCCCCAATCACCTCACCCAGCTATTCAGCTCACTCACTAATTGCCTCCATTCATTTACCCACTACACTTACTCACACACAACTAACCCACCTGGTCTTACGCTTACCCCACCCACATCACCATCTCATTCCCTACACCTGCCCAACTCACTCAACTACCCCTTAATCACATACCCAACCACAAAAACCAAGCCTGCCCACTTACCTACATCATCCACTTACTCACCTATTCAAATCACCCAAATACTTAATTCACCCACCCTATGCACTAACACTTAACGCACACCCAACTATCCATTCACAAACATTTCAACTGAACATTCAAAATGACTATGCAGCAGTTAGTACTGTAAAAGAGGTATAAAACTTATTTTTCCCTGAACTACTGCCATCTGGTGGAGTTCTGATAAGTTAGAGACCTTTTTATAAGCGGACCAGCCACCTTGTGTGTCTTGCAAACCAATGGAACCATCCAAAGACAACTGAAAAGCAATGTTCTGACCAATTTAAGAATCATAAGGATCGCAGCAACCCATAAATAGAAACCCCTATTGAACTGCCTTCCCTAATTTTCCTCTACCCATGCCTATTTTTCCCTGTTTGTTTGTCTGTCTGTGCCTGTGCCTGTGTCTGTAAGGAGGAACTTGGGGGATTATAGTTTTAATTAGTAATGTTGTATGCTGATAGTTTATAACTGTTTACCTGTAGCTTGAGTGTATTTACCTACAATAAATAGTAATTCTTGATAAGTACTTGGCCTGTGCTATCAGCCTGGGTCCAAAGGTAAGGTAGATTGGGGAATTTTGTGTACTTATTTTAAAATCTTTGACAACTTGGACAGATACATGAATAGGAAATGTTTGGAGGTAAATGGACCAGGAGCAGGCAAGTGGGACTAGTTTAGTTTGGGTTTCTGGTTGGACCAAAGGATCTGTTTCCATGCTACATGACTCTATCACTCCAACTGCAGGAATAGCAGGGCTAGATTTCCAGCTTGTTAGCCCAGTGAGTCGTGATATGTTCAAGCCATTTTCCGACTGCATTTAGTATCTAGAGAACACTAAATGATGGCAGGAAATGCAGCTCACAGTGGACACCATCAGTACTGAGCTTCTCATAATCACCAGGTACCTCCCACAGAGTCTTCATATCCCCTTTAATCTTGTACTATCTCAGCAGCCATTTCCAACCCATCATTTCAATTTGGAAATCCATCATAATGAACTTCATCTCTGATGAACTCTCCTCCCTGCACTCTGAACCCCCACATTATTGTTTAATGATGCCCACACCGCTATTCCATTCTCCCTTGTAGAGGTCATGATTGTGGTCACTGCCAATAACCCCACTCCCTGTATCTCACCATGTCTTCTGATGCTATTCTGCACAACCCCCATCACCTCATGTCCAACCCCCACCATCACTAACCTTGTTCCCACCTCCACAAATGCTTCTGCTTTCCTCCCTGAGCCTTGATTTCCCCTATTCCTTTTGGCAGTGATCTCGCAACTGCCACTATAGACCCCTTCCTAGAACTCTCCTTAATAATCAATGCACAGACACCGAGGACTGTATTTACCCCAGAACTGACCAACTTTGACAAGCTGTCCCAATACCAGACCCCAGCCCCTTTATAGTTCCTGACTGATGAGGTATGATTTGGCTTGTTGTCATTTAATATTTCTGAAGGAATGCTTGAGACCTAATGGAATGAAGCAATAAATGATAGATATGTAGAGTTAACTATGTTTGAATTGGTTATATAAATATGAGGAGCTAGTAATCAGTGGGGTATAAGTTCTATGGAAGGTGGCTAAGTTAAATACAGTTCTCACATGAAGTCTAGACATGAATTCCATTTAAATACAGTTATCTCTTCTAGTATAACATTGGTAGCAGAGGATGGTCAAGTCAAATGCAACATTTTGGAGTATGATTACACATCCCTATTTTCTGAAAATGAATCTTATGACCAGTGGAAGAATTAAGTTATATTGTGAAGCGGGTTACTTCTTTGCCAAAGAGGAAAC